AAATTAATTTTATAGTCAGTCTGAGTCTGTTCATTTAGTACCAAATTCAAACCTTTGGAAGTTTGAATCCTCACTAGAGTGAGGATACAATACAATGTAACACTAGGAGCATCTTGAAATTTTAAAGATCTACTTATTAATCTATTGAAAATGTTTTTTCACTTCAAGAAGAGTAAAGGTTAAAAATGTAGGCATAATTAGGGAGTCAGATATTTCAGGAGAACAATTCATCAACAGAGAGAAGGCAGTGGATGTCTCCCGTAATTTCAGTTAATTTCTCCTGTGCAGCTCAGCAGCACCGATCAGGTAACCTGTGTGTTTGATTCTTGGTGGCCTCAGCGGGGAGCATAGATGAAAGGATGATTTATCTTGCTTAAATACAAGAGATTAGAAACTATGATTATTAACTCCCCTTTTAAACATTGAGGATGTTTAAAGCTTTCTTCCATTCAAAGTTCCTAAGAGAAAATTAACCATGTGTAGCTAAAGAAAAGTGAGAGCACAGCCTGAGTGGGGTCTCCTCAACTCCTGACCTGTGCCCTCCATGGAGCAGTTCTTTCCATGCCACTCCCTAAGAAAAGGCAGTGGCTATCACAGTAATTTTTTTACAAATTACACTAAAAATTTACTAACGTGGAAGAGGTATCATCAGATGACTCCAACTGGCTTTTGCAAAGCAGTTGATTTATGAGATGTTTTATCAGTTCAAACATACCTTCTGCTAATTTCATTAAGGCATGGGATTTCTTATCACTAGTGCAAACAAAACTCTTGTTTCTCAAGCTGGGCACCCAGAAAATTGAAAACATATTATCTTCTTGACTGAAATGATTCATCTAGTACCACACAAAAATAATGTGAAAGACAAAAATTTTGAAAAAATGGAACAGGATTTTATCTGCAAATGCAACACTTTCACTCAGAATAGTAGTTCGAAGTATTAGCTACTTGCCAAAATAAGGTCTATCCAAAGTTGCAATTTAAAAGTAATTACAGAAAATCAAACCCAAGGTTTTTTTTGTTTGGTTGGTTGCAGTTTTTTGTTTTGTTTTGTGTGGCTGGGTGGGAGGTTTTTTGGTTTTGTTTTTTGTTTGGGTTTTTTTGTTTGGTTGGTTTGGGTTTTTTGGTGGGGTTTTTTTGTTTGCTTTGAGTTTTTTGTTTGTTTTGAGGGGTGCTAGTTGTATAAATGTGAAAGAAAGGGTACACAAAAATCACAAATATGCATAAGGAAGGCAACAAGAAAACCCTAAAAATAGTGTCTATGACATGACCCAGAAAGACTTCCAAGTATGAAATTTTTCTGAAAGCTTGGTTCAAATACATGAATTAATACTGTCTTTCTGCAAACATATTTTTTGTAGGTACTTACAAATATAATTTATGGAAAGACAATTTTTTTCATATCATTCACAGCCTTAAATTATTTTATAGTTTATTTGTAGTTTGAGGCAAAGATTATCATATGAAATACACTAAATCAAGCATATACAGTAACACAAAGATACAAGTATAATATTGACTGTACACTTTCTGTAATGGCCATATTTGACATGCTTCTCTTCCATTTGTTATTGTTTAGCTGCCATTTAAGTGCCATCTAAATCAGTTCAGGCTGTTAAGCATTCACTGAAAACAGTCAATGACTGCAATTTCAACAAGATTCAATTCTGAGGAGACCAATTAAACAAAGAAGTACAAAACTGGACAAGGATGGAATCAGAGGACATGAGCTTCACAAATAGTCAAACTGCAAAATCATTTTAATTTAGACAGAAATTAATTGAAGAAAAAAAAAAAAGAAATAGTGTCCTTGTCTACCTGACACAATTTTTTTAGGTAGTCCCCTGAAAATATTTTTGCCTGTTACAAAATTAAAGGGAAGGCAACAAGTGCATTCTGATTACACCTTCATCAATGTCACTAAGTAAAATGACAAAATCCACTGTCATGCTAGAACAATAGTTTTCACAAGCAACTGTACCTCAGTTCAAGTTTCACTTGTTTAAATAAAAACCTTTTGCAAAAGAAAACTCTAGGAAACCACCACACTACTTGCTACAGCAATCTGAGAAAATAAATGTTTTTAAATCATGAAAGATTTAGTAAAGCTTGCATAATTTCGCTTTCTTAATTTAAAACCCAATTCTCCACTCATACAAATGTGTACTATTCTTCTACTGTACCCACACTCTGGTAAGATCTTGTAAATCTTGCAAAAGGAGTCTATTTCAAGACCTATATTGAGGCTCAATCGTCTTTTCCTTCTAAAGTGCTGACTTATTCTACTCTTCCACAGAACTGCTTATACTTCTTCACCAGAATGTAATGGCATCCTAGATACACCACACCAAAACTTTTAAGCATGACAGGTTTCCTTGACTTTCTCCTCAAGATACTGACCTTTAAAAAAAAATAAAAATCCCAAAGCTCCAGCATTGAAGGATTAGTTTAACTTAAAAAGAATCCTGCACACATATATCTATAAATGCATATAGATATCTATGTATCTATATGTCCAGATACATATACATGTATGAATTAACATGTGCATACAAATACATATAAACCTTTTGAGCAGCTTGAACAAGACATAAAGAAAAACAATTCTTCTTTTCCAAGATATTATATTCCTCTTCCTTCCATCCTCCTAACTTCCTTAACCCCTTTTTCCTGATGCTCATTAAAATTTTAACTCAGTAAAGACCATTGGTTCCTAACTGCAGCAATTGTTTAATTCTTTTGCATTTGTTCAGAACATTGTTTACATACTCCTTGAGATTACAATTTAGAGTGGATTCACCAATAGAAGCCTTGACAGCCAGTGAGGGCCTTTTTTGGTCTCCTATATTTGAGAAAATCTCAATTTTATCTTTTGAGGAGTGGGCAGAAAGGAGGAAAACTACATGATCTTGTTTTTTCTTGTTGTTGTAAAAGACAACTCTCAAATCTTTTATCTATGGGTTCCCTCTTTCCTGCAGCCGATATCAGAACTGCACACAGCATTCATGAAACAGGAAATAAAAATGGAAGCACAGAAGTACAAAGAGAAACAATTCATTAGAGATGCATTTCTCTATATCTGCTGGCTGTTAACCATTTAACAAACAGAATTCACATCCTGCACAGATTTGAGATGAAGAATTTTACTGTTCTAGTTTCCTTCTAGTACCAAGTTACATTTTCCTTCTAGTGAACAGATGCTGGATTGTTATGCAGGAGTTAAAAAAAAAAAAATCATTACCAGTGAATCAACATTTACCATACAACCTTATGAACACAAATCCCTTTATTTGAGCAGCATTATGCAAAGCAAAATGAAACTGGATGTTCCCTGATTAGGAACAGATATTACATTCTTCCTCACAGGAACACAGAATAATAAAATCATGGAATGTTTTGGTTCGCAAGATGATCTAGTTCCAACTCTCACTGTCATGGGCAGGGACATCTTTCCCTAAATCAGGTTACTCAAAACCAAGGATTTCTTGGGAACTTGTTCCAGTATCTTATTACCCTCTTTGTAAAGAATTTCTTCCTCATATCTAATCTTAATCATAAAATCATAGAATGTTAAGGGGTTGGAAGGGACCTTAAAGACCATCTAGTCCCAAATCTCCTGCCATGGGCAGGAACACCTCCCAGTAAACCAGGTTGCTCAAGGCCTTATCCAACCTAGCTTTGAACACTGCCAGGGTTGGGGCATCCACAAGCTCCTTGGACAACCTGTTCCAGTATCTCACCACCTTCACAGTAAAACTTTCCTTCCTATCTATCTATCTATCTATCTATCTATCTATCTATCTATCTATCTATCTATCTATCTATCTATCTATCTATCTATCATCTATCATCTATCTATCTATCTCCCCAAGTCCTTCTCTTCAAGACTGCTCTCAATCCATTCATCTCCCAGTCTGTATTGACACTGAGAATTGACCAGACCCAGGTGCAGGATGTTACACTTGGCCTCGTTGAACTTCATGAGGTTCTTCTGGGCCCACTCCTCCAGTCTGTCAATGTCCTGGATGGCATCCCCTCCCTCAAGCAAATCAACTGCACCACTCAACTTGGTGTCATCTGCAAACTTGCTGAGGGTACACTCAATCTCACTGTCTACATCATTAACAAAGATACTGAATAGTCTTGGTCCCAATACAGACTCCCTGAAGGACACCATTTGTTGCTGATCTCTGTACTTTAAGCTCTTGACTGCAACTCTTTGGATGTGGCCATGCAGCCACTGCACTATCCATCAAATAGTCCATCCATCAAATACATATCTCTCCTAGTTAACAACAAGGCTGTTGTGTGGGGCCATGCCAAAGGCCTTACAGAAGTCTAGGCAGATGACGACTTACAGAAATCAAGACAGATAATAATAAAAATAACTAGCAAGTGTGTGACTAATATATCTGTTGCAATTGCTGAAATATTATGTATTCCTCAAGCTGCAACCTTCCAGAACTGAAAATCTGGGCCATGACTCTGAAATAGACTCAGGTAAAAAATGTTCTGTGACCCATCACACTCTTGATATTTCAAACTGATTTTTTCACTGTTGTAATCCCTTTTTGTTAGAAGATGCTCATATACAATTACAAAAAAATAATTATCTAGTCCATCTTAAATATGTTATATTTTCTTGATCTTGATCAAAAGCCTCCTGTTGAAAAGAATACAAAAGTTCCACTGCTACTAGATCATGCAAACTGAGACCTCTACAATCTCATACTCACTTTACATTCATTTATCCATGCCCATATGTTTCTTAATTAATTACATTTTGTTGAGACAACTTTTATGAGGGCTAGATTAATTTCAGCACTTACTTTAACTAAAATTAAAGCACATGATCCAGATTTTGGCACTTACACTTAATTAAAGTTCACCCTAAAGACTAAATATGAAAGAAATAATTTTAAAACATTAGCTTTAACTATATTCTCATATATTTTTAAGATATTAGTACAAATTAGATTTTATTAATATTTATGCATTACCTTGTCCTAAAGTTTGCAGGATGAGGATGCCCATCATATAATGACAAATAATCATATTCTTCTTCTAGAGCAAAAGACTGAAAGACGATTTGTATTCTGTTTCTTTCTTCTGCTATTATAACCCATGTACAGTTTGCACCATTTGGATATCCATATGGGAAGCCAGGGCTTTCTATAGTGCCATTAAGTCCTTTTAAAGTTCCACCACAGGTATAAATAAATCCTAAAAAAGATACCAAGGAAACAAAAGTCAGCAATTCATTTTTATATCAATCTTCAATAGAATACATCACTAGAATTCATGATTTCTGAAAAAAATATCAAATTATTTCTTAGCAAATACAGCATTTAGAAAGAAAAAGCCAATGTTTTAATACAAATGCTGGCCACTTAATGCAAAACAACCCCACCCACCTAACAAATGTGTTTTCCATACTGTTTATGTAAAGGCATATGGTAGCATCTTTGCAAATAAATATATATAACAACATCTATGACTAAATTTGTCTGTGAGGCAAAGTATCCACATCAATTCTCTTTTTTGACAAAAGGAAGCGAAACAGTCAGAGCAAAGCAAACAAATCTCTTTTGGTACAGGTCTGATACAGATTAAACCTATTAATCTTGTGGTCCTTCTCCACATATTTTGAGCCTGTAAGAGGCTAAAAGGCTACTTATTATGAACAAGCTTTTCCCAGTCAATAATTCTGGGTCATGAAAGCTGTCTACTTAAAGACTTAATCTGAGATACCACCATCATGTATGTCATGTAAATATTAAGATGAACGTGTTTTGACTGACCCTAAGTGGGTGTTGTTCAACTCCGGTGGGCAGGGAAGACCCCCAGAGCCAATCCCTCACCCACCACACCCCACACCCCCGTCCGCTCCCTCGCAGTGGGATGGGAGAGAGAATGGAAAGAGTAACATGAGAAAACTCATGGGTCAAGATAAGGACAGTTTAACAGGTACAGCAAAAGCTGTACATGTAAACAAAGAATATGAAGGAATTCATAGGCTACTCTGCCAGGCAGGTGTTCAGCCATCTCCAGGAAAGCAGGGCTACATCATGCCTAATGGTTACATGGGAAGACAAACATCATAACCCTGAACATGGTCCTTTCCTCCTCCTTTCCATCAGCATTTGTCACTGAGCGTGGCACCACATGGTATGGAATATCCCTTTCATATGTTATAGAATATCCCTGTCATTGTTTGGAGTTATCTGTGTCCCAGCTGTGTCCCCTCCCAACTTCTTGCCCATCCCCAGCTGATTTGCTGTGACAGGCAGCATGATAAGCAGAGAAGGCCTTGATGCTGTGTAAGCACTGCTCAGGAATAACTAAAATATCCTTGTGCTATCAACACTGCTTTGGTCACAAATCTAAAACATAATACCACAGGATCTACTATGAAGAAAATTAAGTCTATCCTAGCCAAATTCAGTACAGTGGGTCAAAGGTGAAAGGTTGCTCTGCCAATAGATTCTTTTTAAAATGAACGTTACCAAATTTCAGAAATGGCCCCTACATTCAAACACTGATTTTTCTTGGATTATAACAAATTTTCTTCTTATATAGAAAATCAATTTTCTGAGAAAAATAAGAGCACAAGAATAATTATAAAAAAGTCTCCTTCAAGTCACTGCGTCCTGGTAGGACAGGTCCTTTTCTAAACTTTTGTTCCAAGTTCTAATGCTCAGTTACAGCAGTTCCTAACTCATTTTGGGGCTTTAGGATATTTTTTCTTTCCACCAGGTTTGCAGTCTGACTGTAGGTCTGCGTCCTCTCTCCAGGCCTTCTGCTCTCTTACCCCTTAAATATAGATCAGCTTTCCTGCTTCGCCTTTTGCACCCCCAAAGCTTCTCTTTCCCAAGCACGCTCAAAGCAAGCCCCCTCTGCTGGGGGGGGATTTCATCAACTGAGAGACAGCATGAAACACTGAGCTGCTCTTTCACAGAAACACGATATACATTTCACAACAAACTACAAACAAACAAACCAGATGCCGACTCTTTAATTATACACACATGTATATATTTGAGCTCATTAAATCATCTTCTTCATGGCATATTCACAAGCTTGTCTTCGCACTGAGCATTTATATGTGCAGAGACCCCCTTCTCTGAAGTACTAAGCAGAAATCTCTTAAGATTTTACACTTTGTGTTGCTACACTGTAAAGTTACTTTTCTTGACAACAGAAGAGGGAGACATAAAATGTTTTTATCTCAGTTTTTTCATGTTTATCTCCAATGGTGAGAAAAGATGCCTCTTATGAAGTATGACTACTGTTTCAATACAAATATCACTGTATCAGATATATAGGACAAAAAGGGAATGGAAGATCCTCTTAGAAAGTAATTAGGCCTTTGCCTCATCTGACATGTATAGCAAATTTTACCTTCTACTGTGAATTAGCTTAGAGAATTCATTCTCATATCAGTGCCTGCACAATTTTCATTGTTAGGAGTTTGTTTTATTTATCTCTTTCTGTATCTCCCTCATATACTTGAACTATTTTTAAATCTCTTTTATGTGTTATTATTTATTATTTAAGTTCAGCTGTTTTATTTAGCACTTTAAAAGTCTTTTGGAATAGAGTTTGTGCACAAGTCACTTTACAAAATTAAACTACATCATAAGCTCTTCATCCTAGAACTCTAACACTTCCCAAAAAATACAGTCACTGAAGTAAGACTTTAAATAGCTGTGTGCACATATTTATCAGTTTAGTTTTTCCTAGAAATCTCTTGCTGAGGCATATTCAATTGAATTAGAGAAAAAACTTACAGAGAGAGAGACTTGAAAACTAAATAGCATATGCTGTAAATTTTTATGCATCTCCCCAGACCAAGTGTGGAAAGCACAGTGTAAACTTTGTCTCAGCATCATAATATAGCTCCATAATTTAGAACCTTTGTTGCTGTACTTATGTCATGAAAGCTTTCAATTACATTTGGACTGTTCTGTTAATTCAATACAAACTACAAAGAAAAAAATCAAATATAATAGGTCTTCTGTTACCAAAATTAAATTATATTTTAAAAAAAACAAAGCCAAAACTAGAGCCACAACTATGAGTGAGCAGAACCTTGTGAGATAACACACTATTTATTAAGGAATGTAATGCTTCATATTGGATCCAATAATTGGTCCTATCCATAAATATATATGAAATATAAAGTTTCACAACTTATAAAAGTTCCACTTCTTTTATTCCATACCCAAACCATAACAAAAGAGAATTATTCATATTCTGCATGATGATAGAACTTGGGTGTTTTTCTGAGATGACTAGTAGAATGTAACACAGCTATGCACGTGTCAGAAGATACATTTTTAATTCCAAGAATGGAAAAAACACCAACAAACCAACAGTGAAGTTTGATTTTGATAGGCCTACTTTTTTAGTCTATAAAATAAAAAAAATCATGCCAACAGACTCCATACAACACGTACTTTAATCTCTGCTTTCATATGTTAATACATTCTGTGATGTTCTTCACCTTGGCAGTCCAACTTGGTTATGATCAAAATAGACAGCGTGCATTAACTGACTGGTCTGATCAAATGTGGAAAACATGACATTTATTTTCAAGAGGTAAAATTCATGCTGAAATAACTAGTAACATATACTGTGATCTTTTTCATCTAGATTTCAGAACTAGCATTCCAAAAAGAATTTACTTGCAAACTGCTTTTCATTAAGGGGAAGGTTTTATTCAAAGCACACAATGAAGAATTTTGAATAGCTTGAAGTTAGAATAGAAAAGAAAAATTCTTGTTGAAGCAAGTATGAAGATGAACAACACCACTCATGATATTCTTTTAATAGTGAGTATGATTCAAAGTTTCCATTGCATTGTTTTTTACCAGATTTTAAAATTCAGATGTTTAATTCTCATCAATTTTACATGGATAAATATTTCTTTAAATCAAAAAACACAGCCGCTCTGATTTCAGTCATCCTCTGATTCATTGTGGGATTACAGTAAGCATCAGTAACATCAGTTCTTAATCTACTTATTAACCTTTCGTTGCCTTCTAGCAAAGCAAGTAATACTTACACCATATCCACACCCCTTGCCCTTGGATTTCTCATAAATATGCTCACTCAGTACACAACAAGATTGTCTTTGGCTTTTTCTCTTCCTTCTGACCATTCAATTGTACTGTTTAATAACATATGTCCACACCACTCACCTCCCTAGTACTCCACACCTTTTGTTTAATCTTCTTTGTTTAATACAGTGTTCTTTAATAGCAGTCATTATCATAAGATAATTACACTGAGTCTGCATTGATTAACACACTCTCACATTTCTAAGTTGCTTGTGTATTTCCTTTTAAAGAGGTATTTAATACTTGCTGTCATTTGTTTTAAAAGCAAACTGAGAAAATGGAAGATGATTTGTTCATATGCTGCTTTTTTTCTTCAGTATCCTTTCTGATAAGCCAATCTCCTTTCATTTCTTTGACTTGCACCTATCTTAAAGCACAGTCAATAGTATCTTACAGTATTCCTTAGCCATGTCATCCTTGTTCACCTCCCCTTTTTTGTGCAATAAACCTATTTGCAACATTATTCTTTTCCCCCTGGTTGGTGGCTCTATTCCATTCAGAGTCCATCAACTTTGTTCATTTATCTCTCCTGCTCTTTACGTGTTTCTGCAAGACCTTTACTCTTTACGATCTTTGATCACCTGACTGTATTGAGCAGCAAGGAGCAGCTACTTTTTATGCTGATCATAAATCAGGAAGGACTGTTCTCCTAATTCTCTTCTGTTTTGCTGCATTCTCTTTCTGTTCACTTACGTTATCATCACCTTAGATTTTATGGTTCTATATGTTCATCCTTTTTGTTAGCACGTCTAAGAACCTACTGGAGTGCAACAGGGATAGATTTCATAGCGATGTGAACCCACCCCTATTTTGTGAACCCTTTCCTTCCTGCAATCAATCCTTCTCATTCTTGGAAAATATATACACAATATTTCTTTCTAAACCATCTTACCATTTCTATAATTTTACTTGTCCTGTCATGCCTCACACCAAGATCTTTGAGCCCAATTATGAAAATGAGAATAGGACACTCTCCAGATGTAATGATTGCATTTTACTTTGGACTGTGTTTGAAATTTATCTTTTTATCTCTTCTCATCATGTCTTAATTCTCTTTAATTTATGCTTTTCCATTTCACGTTATGCCTCTTTTCTGCATTA